CTATAAATCGTACTACTTTTCCTGAAAAGACGGCTGTTACATAGCGAATTTCAACAATTTACGAAACAAGTGATTTCGCCGACTCGAAACGGGCAAAGCAAAGTTATTTTAAGCTTTCGGTAAAAAACATAAAGCAAACAATTTTGCTTAGTAAGAACAAATTGACACAACTTATCAAAAAATTAATTTCTTGCAGCCCATAATAAACAGAACCTTTTTAGAAGTTTAACCGGAAATATTGGAGGAGTTGTTACCTTACCACCAGAAATCTCCTGCGCCAGAAAGGCATGATACTTCTTGCGACACAAGAAAAAAGAAAGACTTTCGCGGGCAAAAATTAGATGCTTAGAAATAACCGTTCAAAAAATTTTCAACAAAGCGTGGTTGTGTATACTACTAATCAGAGGTAAAAATAATGTGTCATAGTGACACAGCGTGAGAGTGTCTGTGGGTAAACCGAAAACACCAAAAACGACCATAATCAAAAATTACAGGCCACAGCGGTTCCGAATGCATTAAACAGTAACAATTGTTCGGGTTTCGGGGGCAAACCTTTCCCACTGCTGAAGGAGCATCCTTTGAGTTTCTAGTAAACCCTCAACATATTTCACAAACATACCATGAATGTCAACTCTTCTTTCATTCAAGTACCTTTCATACTCCTCTCGAATAACTTTGCTCACTTCTGCAAACTCTTTTTCGACATCATCAACCTGCTGCTCCGCCTAAAAAAACAATAAAATTTTAATAACATTTCCACAATCTGTCTGCGTCATGAACTAAGTATGCTAAAAATGAAACAGCCTAACAAACTTGTCAAACTTGAGGAGCAGTTCACTTGTTACCAGATAATTGTAAGAACCTACAACAGTCAATTCGTCTCTGACTTGTGCAATTTTATCCACTTTTCTAGCAGCCTCGTATCGCCCCTTTAGCTCACGTTTTCTTGTTAAATTCTGCTGCGCTGCTTGCCAGCTTTGCCACACCTTAACCCTTTCGAAAAAAAGCTCCTGAAATCAACAGGATTTACCACGCCTTACGCGGCAGGGCTTAAAAAAACAGCAAAAAAAAGCCGCCTTTCCTGTTATCCACTATTTGCTTCCAAACTACCCTCCCAAAACCATCTTAAACACACACCTTCATCACTAGAAGATAATTCAACTGTTCCTGTATGACTTCAATAAACAGGGACTGATCCCTCTCCGATTGTACAGAATGAAAGTGCGCAACACTTTCTTGTGCTTCCGTCAAATGCGACAAGACCCTAGCAAGACCAGTGTTTTCTTCGCATGATGCTAGCATTGAAAGAGCTTTGGAGAATAATTCTGTACCACCTGCTAATTCATGCCTATAACTGCCAACCATTTCAACAGCTCTAAGAAGTTTTGTCAACGTCTGCTCCATATCATCCATCTGAAATCGGATTTATTAAGAGGAGCACGTACTCTTAAATTCAGCCACAAGTTTTGTACCTCCATAAAAAGTCACACCTTCCTAACTAAATTAAAAATTCTGTAAACTACCTGATTTTCTCGGTCTCACAACCCGTCTGAACATAACCGCAAATGAGTAAAACAAACCTGTTGTTGAGCTGTTTCAAACCATCTATCGTTTTCGTCCATATGGTAAGCCATCTTCGAAAATACATCTCCAAAATTTTTAAACATCCTTTTCACACTAGCTCCACTCAACGCAGCCGTTGAAGTGGCCTTTGGTAGAGGAGCATCAACTGTTAAAAACTCGCGAAAATCACAATCTGTAACCAACTTTGGGTGGCGCGAAATGCGAGTGCAAAATCGCTGGAGGGCCCGAGCGCGTCTTTCAGCGAAGTCACTATAAACCGTTTAGAACGAATAAGCAAAATTAAATGAAGATTACAAACAAACTGTAATCCGCGGACTGTACTTCGTAGTATGTTCGTCATTGCCATGATTCATAATGGTTTTCGTAAGAGCTGCAATGCTTTTCTCAGGTGGAGGTGGGACCATGGTTCCTTTGTGAAAATATTTCCCCATAAGTTTCTCATGTAGCCCCAAAAAATCACTAAAGCGACGCCAGACTTCGTACTCTTTATTTGCAAAGCTTAGCACGTTCTCTGTCTAAAAAAGACTCCTTTTCACAACTAACGAAGGGTATTTTACTCAAACAGAAAGTCTATTGACCCCGTCAATTCCAATTAAAACGACTATCAACTGACTGAACCACGTCAAGTCCTCACCTTTGTAACAATTTTATAGACTATATATGCGTTCATACCCTCTCCTTTCTTCTCGTACTGCCTGATTGAAATTTCAATTTTTGATCGTTCGGCAAAGGCAGTGAATGGAAGATGTTCGGAATTCTCCGCAGTTAGGGTCAGTTTAGGAGAACCTCCATCCGGCTCCTCATCGTCCAGACGCAGATCAACTGTTGTCAATTCATCGGATTTCTAGAAGTCCTTAACTCTTTCAAAAGAATATGTGAATTCATTACCATAAGCGTTTACTTCCCTGTGTAAATCAGTTACGTACACAAGAAAGTGACATTAAAAACACAATCTAAAAAAAAATCAAAATCCAGACTTTAGAAGGTGATTCGTCATCTTCCACCTCACTCCCAGCGTCTTCGCTAGCAATCATCTCGTACAAAAGTACCTTAGTTTCCGCAACCTGAACCAAAAACAATTTCTTTTCTTTTCCTAAAATTATAAACAGTAAAGCTGGCAAAAAGACAAAATCTCGCCCCACAAGCTCAAGACATTCGGCCACATGCACAGTTCTCATCCATCAGTCGCACTGAAAATTACACAGCTTAATAAACCAATACATATACGACACT